TTTTTAAATCTATTTATAAGCCATAAATTCACCATAACTCAAGGACCTGTCATTTATAGTTTATCGTTTATCTTTTTTTCTATTTTTATAGCAAAAATTTTTCCTAAAGCTACTTTTGCTTATGAAAATATGAAGTCAACTGTTCTCTTTCATTTGCTGAAAACCACAAGGCTCTATCTTTTCCCCTTATTGAGTTATGAAAAAAACAACGACCTGCCTTATATTTTGAGATGGATAGTAGTTAGAATAGTCTAAAGAAACACTACTGTAAGCTAAATTCGACTAGTCCATTAAAGTTTTTGATAATTTCAGATTTATTTAAACTAATTTTGAGACTGAAAGGAATTCGAATCAATATACACCAAAAAAATCATTCAATTCAATTGAAAAACGATCTTGCATTCAAAATTAATTCAAACTCTAATCGAAGAACTTCAATGAAATTGAAATAATAAGTGCAAAATTTAAGAGAAGAGAGAAAAAAACGAACTTGTAACTGATTGTCAGCGAAAAAAATTAATTTATCTCACTACCAAATCAAACCATTTACTTTTTTCTTTTAACTGCAACCACATTGTTTCTAATTCTGATGGATACAAATGTACTGTATGCAGTACACTTCTGAATGTACTATTCGGGGGTTGTGTAATAAATTCTAATATGCCCTTCCAGTTCTTCTCAAATTTCTGATGATAATGTTTGTAACTTTCGACACTCAACCGAAATCTTGAGAGAATCTTGAATTGAGAATCTTTCACTAATGCAGATTATGTGATTGAATGTAAAGCGATCTATGAATTCTTGTTTTATCAACTTTTGTGTGAACGGTGTCGGAGGCTCGATACTTTTTTTCACCTTTCCCTTCGCAATGGGTAGAAAACATCCTTTTAAACGTACCGTTCATATTCGTAAAGCCACTACTTGTTGTTATCGGGATTGTTGAATTTGCAATTTCGTACTTCTAATGTTTTCGAGACCGTATTCAGCCATTGCATTATTTGCTGGTAGCATGATTTCATTGGCTATGTCTCGCACTTCATGTATCATGACTTCAAGCAATGTTTTGCAGGCAGGGAGATATGAACCCAGCTTATCGATCATTTTCCAATTCTTCGATATTTTAGTATATGAACTGTAAAGTGTTCGATATTTAACTTTGCATTTACATCGTTTGAAAATGCGTTTGTTAAGGATGACCCACTCCCTCTTTTTTGTAAAAATTTCAGATTTTGAGCTGAGCATAGCCAAACGTAGAGGAAAGTGTGGGCTACAAAATGAGATCACTCCCAGTACTTCACGACCTTTTCCGAAAAAGTTATGTATTTTTGAAGTTTTTCCTTCAAAGCCTAAAAAACTCGATTTTTTAGTTTTATAAACTTTTCTCTCATTTTCTGTATTTTCAAAACTTTTCTTACACGTAGTCTGATAGAAGAAAGTGTTTTCTTCACAATGAGACGTTTTACAGAATTTTCCAATGAGTTTCCGCGTAGATATGAGCATCGTGACAAATGCTCTGAAAAACGTGACCTGTGTACAAAATGCGTTTTTTCTCGAAAACTATTTTTTTTGCTACCAGACTTTATTGTGCCACATTACGCCCCCCCCTTAAATTTCATCCGATCGAATTAAAAATTTTANTTTTAACAATATGTATTGAGATAACAAGGGAAAGTAGATTAAAATCAGAGGGGAAGAAGGAGATAACAGTAACAATCAAATATAAAAATGAAAAAAAAGATAAACGATAAACTATAAATGACAGGTCCTTGAGTTATGGTGAATTTATGGCTTATAAATAGATTTAAAAAGAATTAGACATGCTGCCAGTTTCCAAATCTTTTTGTTTCACAAATATAAGAGTTCACAGCCCAAAAAACAGATGCTGTCTCATCCTCGCTCCTGCCAATATCATTAAGTAGTAGTATGTTCAAGGTAAACATTTTTAAGAAATTTAGTTTTTGCTTTAAAATTATTCTTATATTATTATTCTATGGACAATTAAGAAAATAGTGTGCAGCATCCTCTCTAGCATTCCTACATACACACTTAGGCGAATCTACACATTTGTGTTTAAATAAAAAATAATTAAGTGCTGAAAAGTTTGATTTTATCCTCAAAAATAAAACTTCTGCTCGACGTGTTAAAAATTTTAACTTTTTAAAAAATGGTGGTACTGTAATTAAATCTGATTTTTGAAATGCTCATAGTGATGTAGTCGCTTTTTTTCGCTATCAGATTATTTCATTCTTTCGTAACAAGAGTAAAGAAATCTTTTTCAATATTATTTACTACCTCTACTGTAATGTTCGAATTACCTCGTAAATTATATCGAACACTTGGTCTATGAAACTGTATATGATTAATTAGATAAGCAGGTGCTAGACTCTTAAGTATTTTGAAAAAGGTCAATAACCGCAATATATAAAAATGTTTTTTGTAGAAATCCAACCTAGGATCTCATATAATCGGTTTTTTTATGTACCTTCCATTGGTCCACAGGTGGCCATTGCAGCCTCATACTGAATATGTTCAACCTTATTCAAATTCACCGTTATTGTTAGCGAGTAAATTATAGAACCATAATTCAAAATCGATAAAACATACGCTTTATATATAATTTCTAATGGATTTCTAGATAACACACTTTTATAATATTTCATCAGATCAACTATTGACGATGCTTTAGAACAGATTTTATTGATATGGCTAGTCCACGTTAAATCGTAGGACAATAGTAGCCCTAAATATCTAATCTCTTTTTTACACAAAATAGGTATTCCGTATAACACAAGTGGTGGAAGAGTAGAAACTCTTTTGTAATGATAACGTGTGGAAAAGATGATAGATTCCCATTTTAACTTATTAAGAGGTATAAACCACCTTTCAGATCACTCCTGTACTTTTTTCAAATCTCTGTTTAATATTGTAATGCTTTCTAACGGATCTTTTTTGTGATTAAATAGTATTACATCGTCCGCAAAGAGATTGATATTACTTTCTATATCATTTGTTATGTCATCTATATAGACAAGAAATAAGAGTGGTCCCAAGATTGAGCCTTGGGGCACTCCTTTAGTAACTGAACATTTTTTTGAAGTACAACCATCTAAAATAGTCTGTACTATTCGATCTTTTAAATAATTTTCTATCCATTTTAGTGCTTGACCTCTTACTCCTTTTTTATACAACTTCACTAACAAACATTCATGATTTACATTATCAAATGCTTTTTTAAAATCCAGTAAAGTACATGGGACCAACTTATCGTCTTTAACCCCAGTATTTATCTTATTAATAACATCTAACAACACATAAGTTCTACTATCCTTTGCTATAAATTCAGATTGTGAAGCGGACAATAATTTAGTATTAATTAAGTGACGATATAACTGTCGGTGCCCTAACCGTTCTGGAATTTTTGACAATGCTTTTGATAGTGTGATAGGTCGATAATTTGATCGGTCTAAATTATTACCACTTTTATACACTGAAGTTATTAAACCATTTTTCCAGCACTTAGGAAACACACCAGTTTCAAATGACTCATAAATTAGCTTAGTCAATGGTTTCATGATAGCCGGAGTCATATTTTTTATCATTCTATTGATTATTTCCGATGCACAAGCACGATTTGGATAAAGACTTCGTAGAGTGGCTTCTACTTCCGGCATTTCCACTCTAAATTTATAAAACACAATAGTAGATTCAGGCAGAGTGTCAGCTATAAGCGGATCAATTCTTGGTCCATTCCATGTGCAAACATCTGCAAAATAACAGTTCAAAATTTCGATTTTTTTTACTGTTTCAACTACAACTTAATCCATATTATCTAACAAAGCTGGTATTGTACTATTTCTTTCTCTACCTAGTTTGTATTTAATTAATCTCCACCAATTTTTCGAAGAAGCACAGACTGTGTCATTAATTCTTTTAAAATAGTTTTCTTTAGTAGATTCACATGCTTTTTTAAATTTCTTTGCTATTTCATGATATAGTTGTAAATGATATATTGAATTGTTTCTTTTACGATAGAATTTTAATTTCTTTTTATAAAGGATTCTCAACTCATCATTAAACCAGACTTTATCTCGTAATTTTATCACTATTTCCTTACTTGGAACGTAGGTTTTAACATGCTCAAGTAAAATTTCCTCAAAAGCTTGCACTTCCTCGTTGAGGCTATTGTAATTTTTCAAGAGTCGTTCTACGGGAATATCTAAAAATCTTGCAATCACTTGTTCCCAATTTACCACACCATAATCATAAACAGTTCTCACTCTTCTACCTTTACAAGAAAGCTTATTCATTTTAAATTCAATGAAACTGTGATCACTTCTATCTAACTTTGGTTGAATTACTGCATCATTAATAAATGATGGATTCCGGGTAATAATTAAATCTAAACAAGTGTTAGATACTTCTCTTGGTACTCCTCGAACTAATTGAAACAAATTTTCTGATTCAAGAAATTCTTCGAGTTCTACTTCTTCCTTAGTTGAATCTACGTTATTCATAGACCAAGACTTATTCTGCGCATTTAAGTCACCTACTATAATAATATAATCTTTTTTATATTTTGATTTATTTATTTCTTCAAGTACATAGAGTAGTAGTTGCTCTTTTATTTGTCTTACAGTAATCGTCTATGGACGATACACATTCAAAATTATTACACTTAAACGATTTCCTAACGTTAGGCGCATTACTAATATTTCAAATCGTGCATTTTCAAATTCAAATAATCGTATATAATGAAAATCACTTCTTACATAGACCGCACATCCACCACCGTGGC